TATTGACATTGCAAGACACGTATTTTAACTTACAAGGCAAGGAATTATATGTGCCTTACATAATTAGCTTTTTCTTTAGCTATCACACATGATTAACTTGTTGACTAAATTTCTAACCTAACAATCAACTACAAATATATGTAAAGTCAAATTAGTATCAATAAAGCTTTTAAGAAGCTTCTCTAAAAAATATTATGAAATAAATCTCTTTTCACCTACTTCTACTTTAATCATATAGTTTTATTAGAGTAAGTATGTATGTCTGTGACAATATCTTAAGAAGAAGATAAATGCCACCACCTCTTATAGAAATTGATAGTAATTAAAAATTCAAGATAGAAGAAATTTTAGATTAAAGGAGACCTTAAAATATGTTAGAATATTTTAGTCATTGCTATGGATATGATATTAGTGAATGCACATAAAAGTAAATCAAGAATCTTACAAATGCAGCAAAAAAAGTTGATTCTTTTCATTAATAACATCCATAAAAATCAAAATGAAGAATAGAAAGTCTTTGCTAAAAAAGATAAGAGCCTTTAAGATGAGGTAATAGAAATGAAGATCCTTAAAAACAATATATTCTCCTTTGAATAGATGACATACATATTTACTTTAATAATTATCTAAATAAATTAAAGTAATAGAAATAGATTAAAATAGATAAATTTGATAATATCTTATAGAAAATCTTCATAGATGTAATTTCGATTTTGGACATATTTGTAGTTAATTAATAGATTAAAAATTTGGCCAACAAATTAACCACATGTTACACATATTAGTAGCTTGTAGTGCAAGAAAATTATAAGGTATATATGAAGAAAACTAGCCTTACAAGTTAACATATATTTCATAAGTTGGATACGTATCAAAGATCTTATAGAATATTGTTATATAGCTCCTAGTTAGATAGTATGTATAGAGGTAATAATAAAGCCTTCTTCACTCTTATCAACGCATTTCTAATCTTTAGTCTTATTTTAAGACTTTTTAATCTTTTTGTCTTTAACAACAGCCATTTTAGTTTAATATTATATCATTTTTGAATGATTATTTAGTCTTTTTGAATGACATAAGAGTATACTGAACTTTTGATTATTTGAGGTATATTTGATATTAATAATTATAATAATAGTTTATCAATAAGATATATTTAGGTTATTATACTTTTAAAAATTCATAATTAGATCTTAAATCAAAAGAGCAATTTGTCCTTTAAAGATGTATATTGGTTCACTTATTCTTCTGAAAAGAATACAAATATGGTTTAAATTGATTGAAATATGTAGTCAGCAATGTTATTTTGAAAAACTTTTGAATACTCAAAATAAACTTATGTTTTAAATGCGTTAGCATAAAATAATATTAAAAATAATAGAAATATGATTTTATTCCAAAACAACTTATAAATAGATGGTTTTGAAAAAGAATAATTATAAAACCTATCTTTATTAGATCCTTCTAATATTACATCTTTTAAAAACCTTTCATTTAGGAAACATAAAACTTTCTATCTTATTGTCAAATATTATTATTTTTTAAAACAAGTCTTTAAGAATATAATTGTATTTATATACAAAATTTATCTTAGAATAAATTAGTTTATTTTTTAGCATATAGAACTTTGATATGATCAATAGAGATGATATAAGACCTAAACATTTATATCCATAATATATGTAAATTAAAAACATACTAAAGAGATAGAAAATAGATATAAAAGAGTCTTTGGATGAATAAAATATAAATTTGCATGAATTCATAAACTTAATCCTAAAAACTTATAAAAATATACATAATCAAAAGCATGTAGATTTTAAACCTAATTTTTTTTAAAATGTATAACTTTGTGGATATTACTACGGACTTAAAGTAATTGCAAATTAATTCTTGACTATTAATGCTGGTTGAATTAGTTCTAAGATAAATATTTTAATATATTTTTTGATTTTTGAAGTAATTAAAATTTATTTTTATAAGAATAATTAAATATAATATTTAATTGTATTTAAGTATTTACTTCAATTATTAAATATAAAATTAAAAAAATCTAAATTTAATAATTTTAATAAATAAATAAATAAATAATTTAAATATTAATTTTTAATTTTTAATATGTGTATGATTTATTTATTTATTTTAGTATTTTATGTATTTATATAAAAAAATAAACTAACTTAAAATTTCTATTAATTTTAAAAATCTAATAATATAATTTATTCTAATATACTTAATATATTATTTATTGATATATTTTTCAAGAAAGTAAGAAGCCAACTTCTATATTTTTTATATAAGCTAAATTTAATTAAACTTATATATGATTGTAGTCTACATATATATATATATATATATATATATATACATATTTTTTTAATATCATATATATATATATATATATATATATATATATATTGCTTCAAATATTATAAAAGAAAAAACATAAATTATTTATTCTTTTATGCATCACAATTATTTAATTTGGTCAAATAATAAACTACATAGTAATTAAAAAAGAATATTTTACTATAGATTTTACTCTAAAAATAATTTTGTTATTATTTAATACAAAGTGATGTATTTTTTGTTGATCATACAAACCTTATTATATTTAATTGGTATATTCAAATATTAATATAAATTATTTACTAGTTATATCTATTTATAGAATATGATCTAATTGTAGTTTATAAGTTTAAAAAATTCAACAAAATATCTAACTCTTTCAATTAAAAAATATCATAGAAAACCTTTGATATATATCATCAACTTATGCTACTTAGTTTTAAATCAAATCATAATAGATAATAAAGATTTGGCATTCTTTACAATTGGATAAAACACCTCTAACTGTGAGGAAGAGAAAATATTAGATATTAGTCAAAAAATTAGAAAAATATTTATTTAGATAGATAGCGATATTTTTATATATTTGTTTAGAATTTGATAACACAATCAACTTAGAATTAACATATCATTTAGAAGATGCTTTTAAAAATAGAAAGCAATTACATTTTATAAATAATATATAATATAAAAAATTTTAGATATTAGAAATCAATCTTATAAAAAATAGTATATAATTCCACTTACAATTGCTACTAAAAATCAAGATGAAGACAAATAGATAAAAGGAATGGAATTCAAAAATAAACAACAATTAGATACTAAGATGTAATTTGACAAGACAAGAAATTGCCAAATAAATAAATTTATCTTTAATTACTTTTAAGATATACTAAAAAATAATCATTTCATTAAATAATAACACATTAATATGAAATATTTAAAATAGAACTTACATAAAATTAATTAAAATAAATGAATAATGAATAATGTATTTTGCATTAAAAAATAATATAATTCAAAAAATATTAAAAACATCTGAAAAAGTCAATATTTTACTATAAATTTTTGTTAAATAATGTGAATAAAAAGAAAAAAGATTATCATTCATAAGAAATTATATTCAATTATTTACATTATAACTTAATTTGTTGAACTTGTTTTCATAATGTCTTGCCAGAATATGTATTAAGGATTTTTAAATCAAATTTGAGTATTTAAGAAGAATAAAACAAAATAGAGAATTAATACTTCTTTAATTCTTTTTAATAGAAAAAAGATAAAAAAAGTTTAAAAGAAATATTAAAAAAATATCTAATCATTATTAGTACTTTTATAGTGATTATAGATGCATTTTAAGAAAGCACACAATACAGCATGACAACAATACATATTGTCTAAAGTCTACATGACAATAAGGTTATAACTTAACAAATATATATATATATATATATATATATTCACTCCTATTTTTACATAATATCATATTTTTAATAATATAAGTGTAAAAAAATTAATTAAAAAAAAACTTATAAGTTTGAAATCACTATAAGTAGTGTTTTGTATAAATTGACTACATATATATCTATGATAATGTAATAGAAATTAATTTATCAATATATAAATAGATTTGAAAGAAATAGCCATGTATGTTATATCATATATTTAACCAATTAATTTAAATTTATGAATATTACAAAAAAATACAAAACAAAACCAAACTAAGTAAAAAATTAAGAGTTGTTTGATGAGATTTGAATGAAATTATTATTGCATAAGTTCATATACATACATTCATACATAATTTCACATGCATACATGTATATAGTTTTAAAATATTAATAGCATTCTCTAACATATTTTTTAAAGTTTTATAAATATGTATATATTACACATCTATAAAATTATTATTATCCTTGTCAATAATTATTCTTATTGATACTAAAAATAGAGTATATATATATATATATATTTTTTGTGATGTACATAAATCAGAAGTTTAATGTTGAAGGTCAGTTTCGGATCTTATTCACTTTCAACAAACTCACTCAAAATCAAGTGTGATTTTCCCATATGTAACTGCCAATTATTCATGAATATTTCATGACTATTCAACAATGTGATACAAAATAAGTATATAGCACACCATGGCATATATAGATAGATAGATGTAGTGAATTGATATTTATAAATCCAATATAGTACCTTTAAATTCTTCACACTTTCAAAAAACAATTGCATCCAAAAATAAATAAATAAATAAACTCTAAATCATGAAAGCATGGAAACCCAAAGACCTGCTTCCGTCCGGCCACGTCAGTCCTGAAACAACCACTCCCACCAGACCCGGATTTCCTATTTATCCAAAATGTACCCACCGCGAAGTACGACGTACATATACTAATAATTCGCACTACTATATCAATATATGAATACAAATACGGGGATTCCCGTTCCCTGGTCACGGTTGCACCACCGGATGACACTCGCGTGGTCACACGCGGCCCAAGGCGGGAATGTAACGGTCACCCATAACCGCAGTGGTAAGCAATTGGACGGTCGTATAGTCGCAGGAGGCGAAGCATCGGACGGCAGCGGAGAAGCGTGCCACGGCGACGCTAGGGTTTGCTTTTGATCCACCGTGGTGCGGTGCGGTGCGAGAGCAGGGGCGTTGTTGCTGCCTCGCTGGCGGAGTTGTTGTGTCGAGGTGGATGCTCCCCGCGAGATAATTTTTTGGCTTTGCTGGGAGCTGCGACGGGGAAACGAGGAGTTGGGAGGCGTGGGATTCCCGCCGCGGAATCGCTGACGCTGCGGGGTGAGTTAGACAGGTGGGTTCACTAAGTGTTTGGGGTTCGTAACTGTGCGTCGCTGTGTTTCAGGAGAACGAGAGAGCGCAAGAGAAAGAGAGAGATGGACAGAGATCTTTCGATTGCAGTAGATTGAAGGCGGAGAGGGTGGAGCCTGTGGGGACGTGGAAGGCTCTTTCTCTTTTCTTTCGCCGCTTCCATTTGCCAGCCAGCTCACTCTCCATCTACCTCTTCCCTCCCTCGCTCCCCCCCTCCACATCCGCTCGCCTGCTGCCTTGGCATGCCATTTCATCTGCCAACTCTGCTTCATAATTGTGTCCGTGTGCACGGCCTCCGGGGTTGCGGGTTGATCAACGTTCCAACCCATATTTGGTGTATTGCCTGATCTAGGTTTGTGTAATTCCTACATTGAAACCGGTCGTCGATTCTGTGAGTGTTGTCGTCAGAGAAAGCTGCAGTAAGAACAAAGTCGGTATTCTGATTTGTTTACGGAGGCGTGAGGTTTGGGGTTGTATCTATGCGGGTTGAGTTGTAGAAGTTTTGTTCTGTCGTTCGGGTGCCTAGAGGCTCGAAGTGGGTGTTTGATAGAGCCCCCACCCTACCTTCCAAAACTTTAAAGTTAAGAAGCCATGATGTTGATTGACATGCGCTGCTTCGTGATGAGTACGAGAACGTATCCATGTTGTGAGTTGCAGGTCAGTGTTGGTCGTATTGCGGTACAGATGCCTGTTTGAAAGGATTTTTGAGTACAGTTGTGGGCGAGTTGGGGTTGCGACATTGAGGTCTTTGTGTTAGACGACTGGGAAATCTACAGATGGGCGTGGAAGGCGGTATGAGGGAACGCCGGCTGAGTTAAATGTCAAGTATCCCCATGCTGTGGTGCCCAGTTGCAGTATCCATTTTGTTTTACCATATGATACAGCTAATCATATAATCAGAGGCCTTGATGTCAACATCATATGATCAGGGTCCTGTGATCTTCCCTACCCTGCTGCCGAGCTTCTCTCAGATGATTCATTCTTGAGCAGTGTATCATTTGTCTCTCAACCGCAGATCACAGGCCTTGATGTCAACGTCATGACCCGAGGAGCTTCCTGACAGTCAGTTTCGCGAGTGTTTCACGAATTCTGAGAACAAAAATTCGGAGTCGGCCGAGGTCTGAAGACGCACACCAGTGATGGGGGCAGCAGGGGAGACGGCAACAGCCCCACCCGCCGCCTCCAAGGGTCCGAAGACCAGCAGCGGTCCTCCCACATCAGGTGCGACGACGTCCCCGACGCCCATTGCGTCGCATGACCCGAACGCGCAGGCAGGCGCGGCGGGGTACAATGAATGGTTGGCAGCGTTCCAGGCGTACTACCAGGCGGGAGCACAACCTCCCGCGGGAGGGTTTCCGCACCCCTACATGTGGGGAGGGCAGCCCATGATGCCGCCTCCCTACGGGGGGCCGCACCCTTCTTACGGCGCCATGTACCCTCCCGGAGGAATGTATGGGCACCCGATGTACGGGCAGTACGGGACTCCGACGCCGGATGGAATGGCGGGCGCGGAGCAGGGCGCGGACGGGAAGGCGGAAGCGAAGGGGAGCGATGGCGGTAAAGCGGCACCTTTGAAGAGATCGAAGGGCAGCAAGAGCAGCCTGCAGCTACTGAAAGTGAGCGACAGTGGAGGCAAGGGGAACGGGGTGTCGCAGAGCGTGAGCAATGGCGAGGAAGGAGAGCACGACGGCGAGACGGGGAGCGACGAGGGCGGTTCGACGGATGCGAGCAGGGAGGAGAATGCGCAGAACCTGTTGGGAGGGAAGCGGAGTTTCGAGCAGCTGGCGATGGAAGCCGTGGGAGCTCCGGCTTACATGGGCACTCCGGGCGGCGCAGCGGGGGTTCCAGGGGGTGCAGTGGGGACGCCAGGGCCAGGAGGAAGCTTGGACATGAGCTTGGACTACTGGACTGCAGGGTCAGTGCCGCAGGCGAAGGGGGCAATGCGGGCGTCCGGGAGCCCGTCGACGAGCGCTCCGCCAGCGGAGATGTGGCTGACGGACGAGAGGGAGGTGAAGCGGCAGAGGAGGAAGCAGTCGAATCGAGAGTCTGCGAGAAGATCGAGATTGAGAAAGCAAGCGGAGTGTGAGGAGCTGGGCATGCGAGTTGACTCGCTGACTGTAGAGAACGTGTCCTTGCGGACGGAGTTAAGCCGGATGACCGAGGAGTGCAAGAGGCTGCAGGCGGAAAACAGCAGCTTGATGCACAAGGTGCGTGGCATATCAGGTGCGGAGATGGGTGGTGCGGCGGGTTCCGGCGATGTGGCCTCGGCAGGCGGAGACAACGAGGCAGTGGTGTCAGCAAAGGAGATCGAGGAGTCTCAGAGCAACGGGAACGGGCACGCGACGAAAGCAAGAGACGAGAAGTCAGGCGGTAAGGGGAACGGGAGTGTCGATGTAGGGGTGATTGATCGATGGATTGGTGGACCGGGGGTTTTGTAGGATGTGGGGTGTGCAGTGTTGATTGGGTGGTGGAAGCTGTGGATAGTGTTGGCGGTGGGGACTGGTGAGGAGGGTGTGAGAGGAGAGCATTGAGGCGTAGAGAAGCGTGAGGAAGTGTTGCGCATTTGGTGGGTGAAAGCGCGCAGCGGGCGTGGGAAAGGACGATGGGGTTGTGAAGGTTTGTTTATAGTTTTGGGGTGGTGGTTGAGGCTGGAACGCATGTGTTGGGGCGTTGGTGTTATGGTGGCGGCGTGCAGACGCGGAGGGTGAGGGGGTTGTTGGGATGGAAAGGTCGGACAGTGATGGGGAGTGACGCGGTGCATTGGGGTGGGGCGCAGGGGTGAAAGGTCAAGAGGAGGCGGGTGCGGCTGCATAGGCGTGGAGACATTGGGTGGGGGGCGGGGGTGATAGGAATCGATTTTGGTATTTTGGGTGGGTTATGTAGGAAGCGGTGACGGAAAGAAGTGGTGACAACCCTGCACAAACATTACAATTCTTCAAGGGATGGGCGCGTCCTGTTCAAGGGGTGGTTGGTGACTGGGAGTGGGTGAAGTGAAGAGAGAATTTCACTGGTGCTGCGCTGGTCCAGCATTCTTTGGGAGTAGCAGGGAACGCTCGGCTTGATGTTTTTAGGATAGTGGTAGTTGGTGCGATTTTGTGGTGCCATGCTTGAGTGACGGGAGTTGGCTGTGTACATTTGGATACTCTTTGAACAACGGTGGTTTCACTGAAAGTTGAGAGTGAACATGGATTGGAAATTATATGCGAGTGAGTTTATTATGGAGGTAGTTGTTTGTATCAATTTTTTAGGTGAGCGGCGTGCATTTTGTAGTGTCATTACGACGTTTTTATGTTCTGTGATTATTGTGTTGTTATTTGAAAAAAAAATGTGAATGTTTTTGTAGCCAGTAGCCAGGTGAGAAATTTTCTTCGTAGCATTAAGGTATATCAATTCGAGCAACGGTTGAAGCTGTGCAATCATTAATCGTGGATATTAATGAGAAGTCCAGACGTATATACTATGTAGTTAGTTGCCCAAGAGTTTGGATGGAACTATGTTCACAATTTAATCGATACTTGCTCTTGAGAGTTGTTGTATAATGATTTTCTGAGCTGTTCCCTCCGCTTAGAAGAGTATGCTCACAGGTTTTGTGTAGAAAAACGTTTTGTATTGTCCTAAGCAATGCGATATTCAGGGGATGAGAGGAAAGAACATAAAGCATAAATAAGTTGAGAAAACTTTCCACCAGAGTAAAATATGATTTTACCAGAGCTAATGAGGTCTTTTTAGGTATCGGGGTAAGAAAATAATTGAAAGGTCGTATATACACTCTACTTGTCTGTCTTGATAATTTCCGACGTATCTACCTCATAGATTTACTGAGTGCAATCTGTGCACGTGTACTAGACAACACTACTTCGCTCTCACAATTTTTTAGGCAGTCGCTCCCACTTCTTCGTAGATTATCCAATTAGCCCAGCGCGGTCGAGACCCATTACTCTCACCTATTTATTCCAACACGTATCCCCCGCATCATCGCCATTTGTGTGAAACATTCAGTTGGTTACCGAACGACAGGGCAGCCAAGTGTCGGTCAGACATAGCTTGTCAAAGCAGTCACGAGGGGTTGTTTGAGATGTCCATTTGATGCTCCTATGCGGCGAGACATGAGGTCGAAATCTTTCCCAGATCTACACGCGAGTCAAAACTTGCTCAATGTAGAGAAAATAATTGATACCCAAATTTAGAATTGAAGTCCACTGTTACAGCATCTGAAAAAGCCTCATGTGCAGGTAAACGATAGAGGGAGTGTCAGGTGCTCACGGATCAAAAATAAGACCGCCAGCTTCTTGCACAATCAAAGCTCCTCCGGCAACATCCCTGTGTGCCATTCCGGATCAAGAACTCGTGAATTGTCTTCAGATTAATAGATCATTGTAATGTTGACACAGGACTTCCGCTACCATGAATTGAATGTATACCAGATGAAAGATGGGTGCTCACCAGGGACCTCCGAAACCAGTCTCGTAGAACATGTCAAGCCGCCCACATGCAACGCCACATAGATTCATAGCGCATGACCCGGAAAGACGAACAGACCGCACCTGCATGAGAAAAGATCAAGGGCTGAATGAGTTGCATCACCAATTTTACGTGAAGTGCTACGAGGAACCCGAATGCTGCAACACGGCAAAGACGTGAATAAATCTAGCATGAGCGCACCTGGAACAGAAGATTGTTGATGCAATTCGTGGTTCGATCCACCGTTTGCTTGTCTCGAGTGGTTCCAACCTCGGTGGCCAGAATGGAATTGCCGATCTTGTCCTGACTTGAAGCATGGATGAGCTTGCCATTCAAGTAAGCCCCCTTTCCTTGCACAGCAGTGAAGAGCTCCTTCAGAATGGGGTTATAGACAACGCCCACCACAGGGACTTTGTTGACGACAAGGCCGATGGAGACACAGACAAAGGGGAACCTGTGGACGAAGTTTGTGGTGCCGTCCAGGGGGTCGACAATCCACGTAGGGGCGTCTGTAAGAAGTGGAGTCCCATTCTCTGCCGATGTCTCCTCTCCAATCAACTACAAAGAGAGATGGAAATCGGAATGTCAAAGTTTGTGCGAGGCTTAGTTACAGTGCAGCTTTTCCCTAAATAAATAAGTAAATAAAAATTGGGTGAATTTCATTAGTACCTCATGAGAAGGGAAGGTTGACTTGAGCAGCTTGAAAATCAAATCCTCGCATGCTTTATCTGTCTCGGTAACGAGGTCTACCTGTCTCGGTAACCAGGTCTGTTAGTACATTAACAAGGAGCAGATTGCACGAAACGAATTCATGGAGGATTTTGTAGAGTGTTCTTAGTATGCTGAAAGCAATCTCCTTACCATGCCTTTGTGCTCAATGACCTTCGCCGTATTGAAGTTGTTGGCGATGATCTGAAAATCGAACCGAAGTAGTTATAAGCACGACCTTCTTAATACAAAACAGAGCATCCCATTGATACCAAATGGGGGGGGCGAAGCGAAAATCATCACAATTGAAGTTTATGCGCATCTACCTGTCCAGCTCTCTTGGCGGCGTCGACCGCAACACTTAGGCAGGACTCCAGATCCGCTGCACAATTTGAACGACAATAGAGAGTATATTGTTAGAACTCCGTTTATAACAGAGTAACCTCAATTGAAAAAGAGCCCACTGACTTAATACCGATTGAGTATGAGTACTTCCCCATTGACAAAAAAAAAAAAAAAAAAAAAAAAAAAAAGGGTAGGAGGAAGGCGCACCATAATGCTGAAGGCCCATGTCAGCAAAGCCCTCGTCTTCTTCGAGGATAAGGTCCTGAGCAATCGAGTCTAGGGCAATGTGAGTAAGGCTGGAGATCACAAAGACAGCACACAGGCCTTCCCGTCAGCTGGGTGCGTGAATTATCTTTCTGCACGACCAGGTACTTGACCAAGAATGTCCTGAAAATTCGAACTGGAACGATAGTAATGAAATCTGATTGTTTGTTTTGTGATTTTTCTCCAAAGTACAGCACGCCATACCACGCAAACAAATTTGCAGAGGAGCGCAGCGGCCAATTCCAGAAAACATCGCAAAGTTAAAACACTACCACGAGTACGAATCCAGACGTGATTCTGAATACAAAAGCTTCACGAGCATACGGTTTACTGTCAACGAAAGACCCACTCGACAACAACCGATGCGCGGAATGAGTAAACAACCATCCACCAGAGACTCATCAAACCACACCTCAGAAGACAAACAACAATGCGCGGCTGCAATTGACAACCTCTCTGACGAGACTCACTGAAGAAGGACCCAAGGGGGTGAACTCACCTCTACCGCACAGCCTCTCGATCACTCTCCCTCCCCACTCACTGTCCCTCGGTTGTCAACACCACCGGGCCGATCGCAGCAACACCCTTGATAACTGGCAGCGGCAGAGCCCCTCAATCACGCTATTTGTGGCGGCTGTTGTGCTGCCAATACACGCAGCTTGCCGTTCAATCACGAGCACCAGTGACGATCAAGGAGGCCTGCGAGCTCCAAGCTTGGTACCCAGTCGCGTCTCACCACGCCATAAACAGCAGCCTCAGAGCTGGGATTCCAAAAATAGGCACCCACACATCAGCATCCTCCGCAATCACTCGTGGTGCGACAAGCGTGGGCTTTCCTTTCCCTGCTTTTGGCTGCTAGTTTCTCCAACCATTCCAGCAGAAATACAGAAAAAAAGTCCAAAAACGCCAACACCCAGCTGAGAGTTCGTGGTCACAAAGAAAACCACCATGAATTGATAAACCTACACACGCATTGAGCGAGCGAGAGAGAGAGAGACCGAGAATGCAGAAGAAGAAGCATGGACCGATCGATGAGCTGCATTGAGAACGACCAAAGGACGTGATTTTGTAATCGAAACTCGCCACAGATAAATAAATAAACAAAGGAAGCATCGAGGAATATCTCAGGGAATCTATACACGGATGCTGGGTCGGGCCCAGAGTGATAGATCGATCACCCTCGTTTCCGAACAACTCTCGAGGTTAGAGATCCGCACAGTTGGAGTTCGAGAGCGTGTCAGGGAGCCCTTTTTTGTGCTTTAGCATCATGCCGGTGATGCTGATCAATCCGTTGCGATGCATTCCCCTCAGTGTCTTCTATTTTCTCTTGGCCCCCTCCATCTCTACAACAAGCTGTGGCACTCATTCACCGGCATTCCCTTCGTCGACACGCGCCGCGATGCGATTAGCGTGGCACTCACCTCCCTTTCTCCTAAAACCTAAACCTTGGTCGCCTTTGTTGATAGATGGATGGATGGATGGATGGATGATTCAGTCGATCTAGACAGGATAATCTGTTTGTCGTGTTCACGAATGGTTCTGTTCGTTCGTGGATGAATGTGTTGAGGATTGGTTGGTTGGGTGGGGTGGGATTCGAAGTCAGGGGTAACCCACCATTTATTGATATGTCCTAAGCCTTGATCCTAAAAAATTAGTGCTAATTACATGGAGCTTATAAAAGTTTGTTATTGTGCTTCACAATGTGCCTATATGTGTGGTGATCTTAATTGTTATTATTTTTTAAAAAGGGGGTTTGGATCATGGTTTCCAATCTCGTCTTCTATGTTTTTTTTAAAAAACTTTTTTCTCTTTTTTATGTTTTTGTGTTTGATTGTTGCATGTGTGCTTGGTCTTTGTAGCTTCTAGCACTTACTAAGAATTACCCTATTGGGCAAACATCAAGCATTCATTTAACTTGAGTCTATGAGGGTAAGGATTGTTGGGTTCTTAACATGCTTCATCAAGCCCCTAAGTTTGCCCATGGATTGCATAGGTTGCTCCAAGGGAAATCAAGACAATATGGGGTTTTAAAGTATGTATTTGAGAATTTGATTAAAGTTATTTGTAATAATTGGTATTTCAGTTGTTGGTTGTTTTGTCATCAAATATGTTACAGTTTCTTGTGTGTTGTCTGGTAAAGAAAATTTGGTCATTGAGTCAAAGTTGAGACATATCCCTAAGCATGATTATTTGATTCTTAAAAGGGATAAATAACAAGAAGAAAAGAGCTTAAAATATATGTATATCTATATATTTATAGTTATACAATAAATTTACTGAAAAGATATTACCATAGTTTTAGAGGTCTGCAATTTCAAAGCACTAATAATAACATTCAAATGAAAGTGAATTGAATCACATCAGAATATTTTTATCAACATTAATCATAAATTAAAAATATTTGAAATTCAAGATTGGTTTACAAGAAAGTCATTGGTGTATTTATGAAACTGCTATTTCAAAAAACATTGCAAATTACTTATGTGTAATAAATGTGCACATGTCTATATATATATATATATATATATGTATATTGAGAGAGAGAGAGAGAGAGAGAGATTGCATTGACGAAATCTAAACAATGATTTATAACAAACTACATAAAACATATAAAAATATGTGTAGTTACATTTTTTACATTGTGATTTATAATTATATTGTATATTATTTTACAACAATACCATGCTTCAACATACTACTCCCAAAGCATACCAAGCACCCTCAATGCTGGTATACACATATATACTGTTGATTTTTGTGATTTCATGATATGTTTATGTATAATTACACCTTTTTCACAAGAATTTGATAAAACACTAAAAATAGTATAACTAAATCACTTATTCGACATAAATCAATTAAAAACAAAGAATGAATTATGATTTCCACACAGAAAATTTGCAATTCCATGTTTATGAAATAAACAAAAACATCAAGATTGCTTTTCAACAATTTCCAACTTCAATACAAATAAATCGCAATAACAAAATACATGAAAATACAAAACAAATATACACATACAAAGCCAATTTACACATATTGAAACAGGAGGCGATTTATCCATGACCCACTCCTCTCTTTCTTTTCTATGAAGTTCAAACCGATTCGAAAAGTGTCTTCATCTCCAAACAATACATTATCACCCAACTTCTTACAAAACAATCACTAGAATTCTTCAGACGCATTTAAACCTGGATTAGGGCCAAATTAGGGCTAGGGTTAGGGTTGGGTTTCCGAAGACAGCTGGAGCTTCCAACGAACACAGCCAAAATACACATGTGAAGATCCACCGAAATGGTTCCAATCACGAGAATAGCCTTCACGCAATTTCGACCTAATCCTCATGACGAAAACTGTATCAGTAGCTTGCGATTGCACCTACCATCTCCTTGAACGTTGGTATTATAGTTCTAAATTCTTGCATTCAGAGGCAGCAAGGAATCGGTGATAGAAGCTGGGCAAGAATCATTCAAAACAGTCTTATATAGTGGTGGTTTTGAGGCGATCGTGCTTGAATCCTACAGAGAATTCTCACTTTTCTTCCCTGTTGTCTACTGACGGCACAATGGACATTTACTGGCTAGAAAAATTATCTTGTAAGCTAAGCCAGAAACGATAACCCTTGAATTCCAGGGTTGCGTGTGGCACTACGCTACAGCGATGGAAACTGTGTCTGCGTTCAATAGCTACAACCCTCACACTTACAAGCTACGAGGAGCATTCGTCCCCATTCGCCTCAAGATCAGAATAGACTCAACAAAGTGTATTTCATTCCTTCACAATGCAGCGCCAAACTTCGAAGATAATACGCAGACTCCTAACCCCATGAGTACAGAAGTTACTCATTTACGCTACGCTTCGAAAACAATGAGGGCAAGCGCACCAGTTGAAGGCCATGGTCTTCGCCAATGGCATGCAGGTTAACTTGAAGCTTCACCGATGATGTTCTGGGTGCTGAGAAACATGCCATGAATGCGCTTGATCAACCATTACCCTTGCGAAGAACTACATGACCGGAACATGTTTTGCTCTCCTCCATATCACGGCGGGAATAGGAGGGTAAGGGCGGGTACAAACATCACCACCCATAGCAAGTGTGAACGCAGTATATCATTGAGCTCATCCGGGAGTTTGGGTTTGCCTCCCTACTTTCGTTTTTGCGGCGTCTTGGCCGATGACGAGCAAAATTGAAGATCGTGGATGATGCATGGACCGCCAGCTTCATGTTAGTGCTTGCGGATTGCCTCGACGCGCGATTTTTCGAGTAATTAGGGTTTGGTCGCAATGGGCGAAGCGAATGATGAGACCGCGCTGGAAGGAGAGCTAGAAACCCACTTGGAGGAGAATCGGGCGTCCCTGCAGGCCGTTGACGAAGCTCTTGCAGTGGATTTTAACAATTCCGAGCTAATCATGGTCAGTATTATTATTCTACTTTCATTTTTAGTGAAGATATTTTCAGACAGTGTGGGTTTTCTTTGCTTGGCAAAATATTTGGCATCTGGGATTGGCGATGAGCATCAAAATGGTGATTGATTTATGAGGTCCTTGGTCTACTGAAGCCTCGTATTTCCTCTTTTCTTCAATGTTCTGCAAGTTTACCGAACTTTAGATTACGGAAACGAGCATGGCCTACGTCATGCCTGCCTTTTCTCCCGAAAGCTTGATTCTGAGGTGAAATTAAGGCTCTGAGTGGAATCGGCACAGATTATACTGTTCTAGACTGTTTGGTCGTTGATCGATTAGTAGAAGCCCGTGGGTCAGTAGTGCAGCGAAATGAAGCCACTGAGGATGATTTGGCAGTAGTCATTGAAATTGCTGACAAATTGTAAGGACACACGACTTACATTGAGACCCTAATTGCGAGGCATTTCGATCTGAATTGTATAGAAGCTGAAAGATGGTGAGGAATGAACTTGCGCTAGTGGAGAATTTCTTGTGAAATTTATCTACAATGACACGAATTTGCTGTTTCAATTGTCTTCGAATGATTACTACAAGTATGTATTGCTATGTATTAGACTATTTGAATACCTTCCACAGTCTTTTGATGATTAAGAGTTGGAAGTTGATCACAACCCATGCCGTATTCTTCTTATCTTTGAAAACCATCAACCTGCCCTTCAGAAATCAAGCATCTCTGACTTCCCGGTGTTTGATTTCTCCTTCTAGCATTTTCCCCTTTGGTTTCCGATTTACGACCCTACTACAACTTGATGCTCTTGATGTGATTTAGACTCACATATTAAAGAGGGTCTGGTCGATGAGCACCATGTGGTTTATTCCTATCCGTGATACGCTCACTAAGTATTAACTTAACTGTTAAGTGCCGATGTGTAGATTCGGGAAGAGTTACAGCAAGCTGTGAAGGGAGCAGAAGAAAGCCTGTTACACCTCAAGCGTGCTCGGCTACTTCGAGAGGTAGATGCCATGACTCAGCGGCAGGAATCTCCATCTGAAGGGGGACAAATCGAGGTGGCTGATGAGCTGCCTCAGTCGGTTTCTAGGTCAGATATGGGGGATGTGGTCCCTCCCCAGCCGTTCTCAGTCGGTTCTAAATGCCGTTTTCGTCATAGCGATGGGAGATGGTACAATGGTTGTATTCTTGGCATGGAGGATGACTCTGTCGCTCGTGTGGCTTTTCTACATCCAACTTCCGAAAAATTGCAGGTAAGACTTTTTGACATCAAAACTGTCGCAGCTTTTATCTGGTCAGAACTCTGTCGAAGAGTGGAACCCTGTGGAGGACGATAAACATAGAATGTTAGTGTACTCAATTTCGTAGTCACGGATTTTCAACGTCCCCCTACTTGTCGGTTTTTATTCTTCAATATCGAGCCAGTTGCCACAAGAGAAAAAAGTCATCTTGCACTTGTGGATGACAGTTGGCTTTTGTGTAAGGACAAGTTTTTAAAGCAGTGCGATGGAAATATAGATGTGCAGGTTTTTCCTGCAGCAACAATGTCGATTTGGTAATAAGTGCCGTCTATCTCATGGTATGCAGTCATTCTCTGCAACGTATGCTTTTCATTCGCATGGCACGCCTGATAAAGTGAACAGGATTTGACCTTGTTTAATTGAACGCGACCTGTATTCTCGAGTTTCCTTCTTCCTAATTTCGATCTCCTCTATGTACTGCGCTTTACATTTGTGATTAATATGTTTTATTCCTCAACATGTTTGGGTTACAGTGCTCTTCAATCTATGCTTAACTCAGCGAAGCTACACACTAGATGGTGAATGAGATGGTTTGCGTATTCTGCCCAGGAATGCCGTTTGTTACTTGAGCCTCGTTGTTCATGATCTCTGATGATGTTTGTTCATCCTGTTCGCAGGTTTAGAAGCCCATTTGAATGCTCTGCGCAATTACGAGGCTCCTGAATGGAAGCAAATACCATTGGGATCTGCAGTCCTGGCGGAAGCTGGAAACGGGCTATGGCGAGCTGCAGAGCTAGAGTTGTGGGACGAAGGACAGCAGCGTGCCACGATTGTATTTAGTGCTGATGGAAAGCGAATGGACGTCGATAAAGATGACCTTGCACAGTCCGAATACGCATTACTTAGTGATGCATCAGACACCTCAGATGAAGATGGGGATGAAAGCGATGATTTTGTGGACGAAGAAGAACGTCCTACTCTTGGATCATTCTGTGCAGGTGTGCAAACAGAGACAGTTACTTTTGCAAATTGGGAGAAGCACACTCGCGGAGTGGCTTCCAAGATGATGGCTAGCATGGGGTTTCGTGAGGGAATGGGACTAGGTGTATCTGGTCAAGGTATTATACAACCAGTGAAGGTTCAGATGCGACCAGCCAAGCAGTCACTGGGATTTGGTCAGGATAACCAAGATGGAGAACAAGGGGACGCTGAAAAGACTGCTAAAAAAAAAAAGTCCAGGGGTGGGAAGAGGAAGCGTGATCAAAAGTGGGCTAACGCACAAAGAGCAGCCAAGTCCAAAATGGAGGTTATTGAAGAAACTCGAAATGTTTTTGACTTCATCAATCATCATCTCACTGGTCAACAGGTTTCAGCTACTAAATCCAGTAAGGTTAGGCCTGGTGGTTCTCAAACCAACTGTAGTGGATCAGTCAGTGATAAGCAGTCACTAGAGAAGGCCAATCGGCAAACAATAGTAGCTCATGAAGATGAAATTAAGGAGCTTCGTAGCAAAGTTAGCAAATTGCAGGAGATGGCTACTCGGAACCGCAAGGAGAAAGTTGTATATGAGGCTGTTGGCCGAAAGTTAGTAGAGGCTCGGAAAGCCTTGGCATCTGCTGAAGCGGCTCATGCCACCACAACGCATGCAGTTAACAGCAAGGAAAAGGAGCGGAAATGGCTAAGATTTTGAAGCATCTTGTCTGTCCCTAGGGTTTGTTGATTACAGTCAAACTGTTTCTCTCAAGCCTTGGAACATTCGATTCTTGTTGGACAGCTAATCTGCATGTAAGCCATGCTAGTTGTTGAGCACGAAGGCTTGCACATTTCAGTTATGAGTCTCAAAATTAATTTTACCCATCGCAGGAAGGCTTGCTCATTTCAGTTATGAGTCTCAAAATTAATTTTACCAATCGCAGGAAGGCTTGCTCATTTCAGTTATGAGTCTCAATTAATTTTACCAATCGCAGGAAGTAGTCCTATTGTGACGTCTATTTGTCATTGACGAATGCGACTGGCACGCTTTTTATGTAACTTTATAGGATACCTTGATGATACTGCCGAAAGCATCCGACTTTTAACACAATTAAAATCATTTCATTCCTGTGGTCAAATGTCTGGAGAATCAGTTTCTTCACAAAAAGACTCCATTTCTCAACCCGTCACAAAATATTCAGCGAAGCTGTGACCAGTGTCGACGTAGCATCGGTGAAGGCTTGTCAGGGTTAGTTTCACACTTAACTTCGCAAAAGTGCAAGAGATAATAAACTGCAGTCCAATTATCCATCATGTCCTCACGCCTGAAAATCATGCAGTGATCTTGATGGAGGTTACAGTCTCGACGTATCAAGACTGCTATGAAAAAGTCACTATACGCTATAAAACATCCCGCAGCGCCAGAATATGTAGGTCAATGTTACACCCAGGCATAGCAGGTGCATCACATAGTGCCATACGATCTTTCAATGCTCGCTGCAGTCAACATTCACGGCCGATATGCAACAAGGACGTGACACAACCTTAGACCCGCAAAGTTGCGAAGTTAAGTGTCATCAAAAACAGAAACCAGAACAATTACGGTAATCAACATCGTCATCTTCAGCTTCTAAATTTCTTGTCCAATGAACTGAAAGAGGTATCTCAAAAAGCTTGTAACAAACCCCTGCATACTAATAATTCAGATTGAATCGCTGCGCGATGGAGAAAGCAAAAATAAAAACAATTAGATCCTTGCCTAATGAACAGATGACCATTTGAGATCAGAGACGCGTTGCAATCAAAGAATAAACCAACTCATCATAGCAAACTACTGATTCTAAAAGAGCTTAATTAAAAGAAAACCACCACAATACATGCGAGGTAAACAAATTGAATAATGAAAATAAATCGATAAGTAATTTCCCAATCCATGAAATGATAGATACAAATGCCGACTGCTGAAGTGCAATGACCTGGACAAAGAAATTGTTGAGAAGGATGTGTCTAACCCCTAAAGCTAATATCCGAATTGAACCCAATATAAAGCACATGACTGTGAAGACTGAGTAATCATGTGCCTGCAAATAACGCTCGCATATAATTTCCAACCCATGTTCACTCTCAACTTTCAGTGAAACCACCGTTGTTCAAAGAGTATCCAAATGTACACAGCCAACTCCCGTCACTCAAGCATGGCACCACAAAATCGCACCAACTACCACTATCCTAAAAACATCAAGCCGAGCGTTCCCTGCTACTCCCAAAGAATGCTGGACCAGCGCAGCACCAGTGAAATTCTCTCTTCACTTCACCCACTCCCAGTCACCAACCACCCCTTGAACAGGACGCGCCCATCCCTTGAAGAATTGTAATGTTTGTGCAGGGTTGTCACCACTTCTTTCCGTCACCGCTTCCTACATAACCCACCCAAAATACCAAAATCGATTCCTATCACCCCCGCCCCCCACCCAATGTCTCCACGCCTATGCAGCCGCACCCGCCTCCTCTTGACCTTTCACCCCTGCGCCCCACCCCAATGCACCGCGTCACTCCCCATCACTGTCCGACCTTTCCATCCCAACAACCCCCTCACCCTCCGCGTCTGCACGCCGCCACCATAACACCAACGCCCCAACACATGCGTTCCAGCCTCAACCACCACCCCAAAACTATAAACAAACCTTCACAACCCCATCGTCCTTTCCCACGCCCGCTGCGCGCTTTCACCCACCAAATGCGCAACACTTCCTCACGCTTCTCTACGCCTCAATGCTCTCCTCTCACACCCTCCTCACCAGTCCCCACCGCCAACACTATCCACAGCTTCCACCACCCAATCAACACTGCACACCCCACATCCTACAAAACCCCCGGTCCACCAATCCATCGATCAATCACCCCTACATCGACACTCCCGTTCCCCTTACCGCCTGACTTCTCGTCTCTTGCTTTCGTCGCGTGCCCGTTCCCGTTGCTCTGAGACTCCTCGATCTCCTTTGCTGACACCACTGCCTCGTTGTCTCCGCCTGCCGAGGCCACATCGCCGGAACCCGCCGCACCACCCATCTCCGCACCTGATATGCCACGCACCTTGTGCATCAAGCTGCTGTTTTCCGCCTGCAGCCTCTTGCACTCCTCGGTCATCCGGCTTAACTCCGTCCGCAAGGACACGTTCTCTACAGTCAGCGAGTCAACTCGCATGCCCAGCTCCTCACACTCCGCTTGCTTTCTCAATCTCGATCTTCTCGCAGACTCTCGATTCGACTGCTTCCTCCTCTGCCGCTTCACCTCCCTCTCGTCCGTCAGCCACATCTCCGCTGGCGGAGCGCTCGTCGACGGGCTCCCGGACGCCCGCATTGCCCCCTTCGCCTGCGGCACTGACCCTGCAGTCCAGTAGTCCAAGCTCATGTCCAAGCTTCCTCCTGGCCCTGGCGTCCCCACTGCACCCCCTGGAACCCCCGCTGCGCCGCCCGGAGTGCCCATGTAAGCCGGAGCTCCCACGGCTTCCATCGCCAGCTGCTCGAAACTCCGCTTCCCTCCCAACAGGTTCTGCGCATTCTCCTCCCTGCTCGCATCCGTCGAACCGCCCTCGTCGCTCCCCGTCTCGCCGTCGTGCTCTCCTTCCTCGCCATTGCTCACGCTCTGCGACACCCCGTTCCCCTTGCCTCCACTGTCGCTCACTTTCAGTAGCTGCAGGCTGCTCTTGCTGCCCTTCGATCTCTTCAAAGGTGCCGCTTTACCGCCATCGCTCCCCTTCGCTTCCGCCTTCCCGTCCGCGCCCTGCTCCGCGCCCGCCATTCCATCCGGCGTCGGAGTCCCGTACTGCCCGTACATCGGGTGCCCATACATTCCTCCGGGAGGGTACATGGCGCCGTAAGAAGGGTGCGGCCCCCCGTAGGGAGGCGGCATCATGGGCTGCCCTCCCCACATGTAGGGGTGCGGAAACCCTCCCGCGGGAGGTTGTGCTCCCGCCTGGTAGTACGCCTGGAACGCTGCCAACCATTCATTGTACCCCGCCGCGCCTGCCTGCGCGTTCGGGTCATGCGACGCAATGGGCGTCGGGGACGTCGTCGCACCTGATGTGGGAGGACCGCTGCTGGTCTTCGGACCCTTGGAGGCGGCGGGTGGGGCTGTTGCCGTCTCCCCTGCTGCCCCCATCACTGGTGTGCGTCTTCAGACCTCGGCCGACTCCGAATTTTTGTTCTCAGAATTCGTGAAACACTCACTCGCGAAACTGACTGTCAGGAAGCTCCTCGGGTCATGACGTTGACATCAAGGCCTGTAACCTGCGGTTGAGAGACAAATGATACACTGCTCAAGAATGAATCATCTGAGAGAAGCTCGGCAGCAGGGTAGGGAGAAATGAGCACTACATCTGCGCGCACGCTTGGTGTGCGAAAGCTCGGCTTCGATGTTGGCGGGAGAACTCCCATCCCGCCGTTTTGCGGCTACTTCACCATCTTGCTTAAGTTTCACCTCGCACATTAATCCCTATACGATTTTTAATTTGTCCCCTGTCTGTGCGGACCCTCTTCGTCCAAACCACATCATCGATTGTTTTTTCAAGAGCGCACACAACGGTGCAAAGAAAGCTCTAAAGCCGCAGTGCAAGCGGCGGATGTGCTTCGTACACATGCCACACGTAGGGATCGTAGTAGCTAAACCGCAGCAACACCTTATTGTTACAAACACCAGCTGCTACAAATATCTAGCACTTCATCGAAACGGACTACACACAACAACATACCAATACCAACAGCGCAACAAAAGCACCGCCGAAAACAAATACCCACCCCCGGACAATATTCACTACAATAGCATCAAGACGACAGGACAAGCGAGGGTTATACACCGACAAACGAAGATCTGGCAACATGAGAGGAGGGGAGGGTTGAACATGACACTCGACCCGAGTGGCACACATGCATACCTACGCGTTGCCGAGTATGCAGAGTTGGCAGAGTCGGGAGATGAAATGGCAACGAAGTGTGCCAAGGCAGCAATACTGAGAGACCATGTGGAACCGGCTGGAGGCCCGAACTAGCCAAGCAAGCCAGACAAGCCGCAGAAGGAGGAGACACCGAACGGAAAAAGACAAATGGACCTTCCACGTCCTCCCTTTCCCGTCTGCAAAATCCCTCTTACTGCCCCTGAACCACCATCGCTCACCCTATATCTCTCTCTCTCTCTCTCTCTCTCTCTCTCTCTTCACCAATGGATGCAACAAACCAAGCAAGCTTTGCGTCAGTCGAGTCACTCACCGACGGGAAGCGTGGCGCAGCGGCTTCGCTCCGTGCGTCACCTGCATGAACGTTTCACAAACTCCGTCGACGTCGTCGACGACTTGCCGTCTCTTCCGTCCTGTTTGGTTTCCGTCGACTTGTCTGTGCCACGAAAACTATCTCGCGAGGGGCAGCACACCATCACCAGTTTGCTGGTCCTACAAGGCAAAATGGCGCTGATGTGACGCTGACCACGGTGGAGAGCCCCCATACCCGTCCCCCCTCATCCCATCCTAGCTGGACGGGCCAAGCCCTAGTCCCGCTCCCCTTGCCCCCTCTCTAAACCGTCCGATCTGCCCTGGTTCCGTTTCTCCGTCCGATCCTTGACAGCTCACTCTCCCCATCCGTCTCCTCTTTTGGCGCGCAGTGTTTGACGTGGAGGGCTCGATTTCGCTCCTTTCGGGCCCAGAGAGTGTGTGATATGTGTCGTATTTATACGAACTTGTACGTATGCGATCCTCCATCTGGGTGTGTACGTTCGTGTATATTCGTATCTCTTCTTTTGTAACTATTGTTTACCCCATAATATCGAAATTGTTCGGTTTATTTTGCAGGAGTATTTGTACGTCTTTTACCTTCAATTAGTTTTTTTGATAAGTTAAGTATGTCTTTATTTTACTTTTTTACTGATTTGAATTTGTAATGATTTAATATATTAAATTAAAATACAGGACTAGATTATGTTGTAACATGCT